GTTGAGTTGATCGCCACCCTGAGCATAATACTCCAAAGTTCCAAATCGCCCGAGTCGAATCCCATATTGATATCCTTGCAATTGTTAGCTTTCAGTCCTTTGCACAAACACAACTATTCAAAACGAAGAAAATCGCCTTACGTCTCTATGAAGCCCGTCATTAATCTGCAACTGTTCCGCTGGCAAACCGCTGCTGAGCTCCTCATCCCCCTGTCGCTCGTTAACCGCCATGTTTGACGCTCGGCCACTGAATGGCGTGGAGAGCTCTTTGACGGCGCTGTTGGCATTGGACAAGGGTGTATCCCTGTCGACTGCGTTTCGCTCCGCATTGTCGACGGCATTGCGCGCCATGATGGCCATTTCCCCGATGAATGGCAGTGATAGATAGGATTCGGTGTCGAGGTCGACGCGCGCCGCGAAGCCTACTCCAATGTCTAACAGGGCCAGCTCGGATTTTACCGATGCCTGCGTAGGATCCGTGAGGATATGGACAAAGATATTCGCCAGTGCGTGGTGGGGGACGTAGGAAACTATGCTGAAGAAAATGTTAGCGTACGCTATTCGTCTCCATTGTATTGCGCTGAAGAAACGACGGGCTAAGCCTTTGGCGGTCTTACAGTTGACAACAGTTTGGATCCAGGTAGATGTGCCTGGTGCCTAGAACGGCAGCTCTTGAGCTGGTAGCGACTGTTGATGAAGAAGCCTGGATCTGCGCCCTTGTCGGAGCATCTTGGTCAAGAGCAAAGGCTCCACGAAGCCAGGGGTAGGTTAATGGGGTGTGTATGTCCCAAACCACATTGTAGTAGAGGGATTGGATGGAGAGAGCTTGGTGGTTGTTCAGGTTGGCGGGAATGTTGGATAGGTCTAGTGGCAGTTTGACACCCAACACATCGACAAGTGATTGTTGCAGCTCCTCGAGGCTGTGGTCTAGGTCCTGGATGACTTTGACAAGTCCTTCAGCCGCGGAGCCAGTGGATCTGACCTGAGAAAGTTTCTTATTGACCAAAGATAGCAGCTGACTGAGCTTGATCATGGCTGTGAAATATCCCAAGTGGACTGACCCGCCAAGTGGGCAGCATGTCGGTACGTGGGAGCTTATTTCGTAGTCCTCGATTGACTTGGCCGGTTCAGTACGTACATTGTCTTGTATATGGAGAAGGGAGCCTGTAAACGTACCGAAGGTCGACCAGAGCGGCTGGCTATCTGCTTGTCCAAGCAGTAGAGAGCCCAGAAGGTGAAGCCCCTGAGACTCTCCTCTATCGATGGGAATGACCAAGAATGTGGTCTCCGGTGCATGCCTTTGGCTACGGCAAGCCTGACTGCCATTGAACACAGCATGTATTGTAGTATCGGGCTGCTGATTGCATCGGTGAAGTAGGCCTAGAAGCGTCAGCGAAAACCACGCTACGTATGGTCATGATACCTACCATGGCAGTCAGTGCCTGGACGCCAGTCACCGTGGTCTGCCAGTACAACAGCTGTGTATGCACAGAAAGCGAGTTTTCAAAAAAGGGCCACGAAGCCTGTTGCGCCTCGTGGAATGTTGCCACTTTGGACGTGACGATGCGGCAACCAGAAGCATATACAATGTTGCGCAGGGCGTACCAAGCCGGATCATCTCTGGAGTTGGAGGAAATAAAATGACTTCGGAGTTTCATCTCAAACCAAGGGCGGTGGACGATGCCGAGGGCAGCGTCATGGGACTCGTCGAAATAAGCTGTGGTGTGATGTCAATTGCATGTCAGCTCAGGATCCTGGGGTGCGGAGAGCCATCAATACCTTTAGCATATCTCCAGGCATCCAGCTCTGAAGGTTCTGGTTGCCGCTCAAACGACAAGGGCCTGTCCATTTTGAGTCGCTGGGCAACGCCCTCTGCAAACCTCTGCGACGTCACTTGCATGTCCGGAGTCTTGACCCTCTCCCTCACCCACTCGATGGCTGGCTTGCTACACATGGACATGATGCTCCGAGGACCTTGGCCGTTGTCAGGAGGGGAGCAAATTACTGTATATACGTGCAAACAAGGACATACCGTGATACTCGAGGCCATTCTAGTTGGACAAAGAAAATACGGAAAAGAGTTAGAGACAAGTCTACAAGGCCGGACGCATGCTGCTCTTACACTTAGCATTGAATAGACACTGCTTCCCTCCTCATCAGCACCCCTCGACGCATGGAGTAACGGTGCAGAGCTGCTGTGAGACGTTGTCGTCATGGACGACGGTTGAGGTGTTGGCGGTGCAACATGCCAGCCGTGGCCGACCATCATGATGCTGGGCTGCGAGGCCGAGGCCACGGTGGTATATTCTTTCCCCGGGTACTCGCCATATGCCGAGCTTTCCAGCGTCCTCGAGTGAGGACCGTGGATATGCCGATGGTTAGGGTCAAACGTCGCATGGCTACTGCTGCGAAAGGGCAACGCCCCGACATGAATGACCGAGTCCTCATACGGGCTGATGCCCTGCGGCGAAAACGACTGGACACGCACATTGGCACCTGGGTTTCGCTGACTGGTAGGATGATGCGATTCGGCCTCGAAGACATACTGTCCGCCGTCTGGGACGCTCTTTTCCGGCGCGCCCTGCTCTCCCTGGTCGGCTGTGATGTCGCGCTTCTTCTGACGCCGTTTTCGCGGGCGGAAGATGCATTCCTCCCCATAGTCTGCGCAGTTGCGGCAAGGATTACCGCCCCCGCCTGACACGATCAGTTCTCGACGGAGCAAAAAGAAAAAGGCATGTAACGCGGCATCTCACATCGGATCTTCTTGGCCCTGCAAAAGGTGCAAGCTCGTGTCCTCTTTGGTGTTGTTGAGGCTGGGGTCATGCTGAAGCCGGGAGTAGGATCTTGAACGACGCGCGCGCAGCATGGCGTGTCCTGGTCCGGCAGAGAGGTTTTTTAGAAGGTTTAGAGTAGGGATTGAGTGAAACAATCTGGACAAGCAGGCAGGTAGACAGGCACTAGCACGATACGACGCTCCATATTTTTTTTTAACTTTGTCGACACATTTGCCGATGTTTCCGAGTCAGTGCAAATCTGCCGTTCATGACACGCCTAGAGAGTGACTTGCCGTCCAAATGTGTGGCAGCCTGAAGCACTTGGGGATGGATGAATAGTCACTTCGTCCCCGGTGCCGTCTCCAAGACTGGTTTTCCCTGCCGGTGCTCTGCCTCGAGCGAGAGCGTTGTTCAAATGTCCACGGTCCACTACCATCGACCACAGTCGTCTGAGCAATGGCGGATCCTGGTGCAGTTGAGCCAGTCTAGGCTGAGCAAGCTTGCCTAACAGGTAACCACCACGATGACGCTGTCAGGCAGCATACCCTGATGAGGAGCGTCGACCATCTGAGGCGCCGTCGACGGGGCTTTCCCGCCAGGGTCAAGCATAATCATGTTCCCTGCAGCCATGGTGAGGGCGGTACGGGTGGCTGGATTCTCGCCAGCAAATCGCGATCAAGGGGTCCAGGAGTCCAGGACGGGCTGTGTCACTGGTATGAATCGTCGAAACACAACATCATGTTAGCTTCGAGGCTAAGGCTCGCGTCACGATATATATGCTGACCGGCAACGGCAACGCGCTTCCATCGCCTCAACCCGCCGCGAAGAATGGCAGATGGCGCCGGACAGTCGGGAATCAGCCTCGGAGCTTCTCCAGATGCAGGGACCCACTTTTCCAGGCCCGTCGTGCCGGAGCGCGGGCCTCGCCGTTTGGACCTTGGCATCTTGCACCATGGACCGAACGACCAGTCGCTTGAGCTCGTGACTACTTGCCAGACGCAATTGACCCATTGCCATATCGGACACTAAGTGGCCTTACCACTTGACGTCTGGATGCTTCTGGGGTGCTTCCACGGCTTTGTGGAGGGAGGCACCAGACATCATTGGAGCCATTGGTGGCATCCGGCGGATAGCCGAGCATCCGAAATTCCGGTATGCTGACTGGACCGTGCTAATGCTGGTCGCATTCTCAAACCCGCAATTGCCGCAGTCTGAGTAATTTCCCGCTGCTTTTGTCACCCTCGCTTCCACTACACGACGATAAGAGTCTCAATGCTTTCGCAACACTGCTGCGACGTGCCAGTCAGGCGCCGCAACAGCCTGCCTGCGTTCCCACCAGGAGAGGCGGATTTCCCCGACTGCTAAACGCGCCGGGCAATTTAGCCTTGACGTGGCTTGCGAGGCAATTTTACGACTGGTCCGATTGCTGGCCTTGTAAGACCTAGGCCCCTCGACGGTTTGCTAGCCTTGACCGACGCGACATAGGGCAGCTACTAGCCCAAGCCATTACGTGCCAGAGGTGAAGATACGGGCTCCGCGCATGTCAAGTACGACTCGATCATCAAAGACGGTTTCAACCCTAACCCCACAAAAACTCCCCGACCCGGAAAGTGAGGCTGCCATCACGACGAAAGCGGAATGGGGATTCTCGGCTGCGAGCGAGGCGTATCAATACTTGTGCGACATTGTTTTGTACTATTGATCATACAGTCCTTCTATAGACGCATAGTCATTCCAATACTATCCATCGCCGTACACATCATGCCCTCATTTACCCGACTGTCTGATGCTCGAGACCTTGTCGTGGAAGAACTCTTCAATGCTAGTTGGTTTCCGACCAATCAGCCACTGAAGCACGTTTGTGTTTCCTTTCAGTCCGTAGGTATTGTAGTAAAGAATCAGCCGGTCGGTGATGTCGCGAGACACTCTCTGGTCCAGTCTTCCGTTGGCCCTGACCAGCAGGCCGTGCAACCCCCCGACTGCCTCGTAGTAACCCTTCTGTTTGATCGCAATGTCTTTTCCAATCTCCTTGCTCAGCGCCTCAACCACCGCAACATGAGATACCGCGCCCGTCGAAGAAATGGGATACTCGGCCAGGTAATGCTTCTCGCGCTCCAGCGCTACAACCGCAAATGCGTCGGCCAGATCGCGCAGAACGGTAAAAGAAAATGTCACCTTGGGATCGTAATCGGCGTGCCAAACGGGTTGTTCCTGTCTCATCAGATCCTCGACTGGGAAGGGATCCAGCATGTGCGTTGGCTGCAGGATGGTGTAGCTGAGTCCCGACTCCATCAGGTATTCCTCCACGTAGCGCTTGCAGTCATGGTTCATCAGCTTCCGCAGCTGTGAGTGAAGCACAGAGGAGTAGATAAAGTGTTTGAGTTGGCCGTTTTGAGCTTCGCTGGCTGCGGCGTCAATCATGGAATACCCGATTTCTGTTTCGCGGGGGTGAAATGTTGGCCCGATGTAGATGACGGTGGTGACCCCTGATAGCATCGACGACACATCCTCTGCGCGTTCCATGTCACCTTTGACGACTTCGGAGCCTGGATATTTCTTTTCAAGCAGTGCCTTCTCCGAGTCTGTGTGTACCGAGAGTCTGAGGCGGCATTTCCCATACAGAAGCGGGAGGAGATAAGACATCTGCTTGCCAGCGGCTAGAGTGAGGAGAATGATGTCGTCTGCCTGCATCGTCGCGGTAGGCTGGGAAAGCTCGTATGTGATGGTCAAGGAAAGGAGAGATCCGGTCCGGTAGTCTAAGATAGATGGAGATGGTTGTGATTGCAATTATTTCGTGATACACCCAGCGACGGAGCAGTATTTATGCCACCAAGGTTTCCCGGTAAAGTTTTGTTCTGGTGCCGGCTGTAGAAACCAACCGCCACGAATACCCGAAATGCCGAGAAAGTTACCATCGTCCAAAGGTTAATAAAACAAAGAAACCCGCCTGTTTTAAAACCGCCTTGTTTTATAACGTGATACAAGAGCGCATGTTAGGAGCTTTGTCTCTACTCTTTTCTTCTTCTTCTCGTACCATAAGTTGTAAGTAATGTAGAGGCGACAATGTCTTCGCTTCCCACACACAGAGTCCGCTATGATCTAGTCATGACAGGCAACAAGCACGTGCCATGTCTTGCGGCATAAAAAATACTGTCCTTTCTCGGTCATTCACTGGAGATGACGTTGTTTATGCCGGACGGGAGATCGGTGCCGGAACCCAATTTTGCTTCACCAATATCCGCTCACGAGCACGGATTGACCCGTCTTTCGATATGTAAGGACCGGCCGGGAAGGTCGGCGCCGGAACCCAATTTTGCTTCACCAATATCCGCGCACGAGCACAGATTAACCCGTCTTTCGTATGTAAGGACCGGCCGGATTTTTCGGCGTTTGGAATACAATTAACTCCATCACGTCGGTTGTCCCGGTTGCGCAAATTACTGACTTTGGCGCGGTGACGGGCCAAGTGCTGTGTATGACGTTATTTAAACTCAAATAAAGCCAACTGATCTCCCCTCAAAAGACTCCATCACTCACCACATTCTTCAAAAATAAGAACACTTTACTGAAATACGAACCAGAAAAGCATCACTGCTTGAAGAATTACAACCAGACGACATGTCTTCCACACGGGGCTCTCACAAATTCCAGTGCGCTCTTGTTACCGGCGGCGGCGGCGGCATTGGCAAGGCATTTGCCAAATACCTCGTCTCCCAAGGCACAAAGGTCATTATTGCTGGTCGCACCGAGTCCAACTTGCGCGCTGCTATCTCAGAGATCGGTGCTTCTGCCTACTACGTGCTTGACACGGGAAAAACAGAAGACATTTCACAATTTGTGCGCAAGATCATCGCCGAACATCCGGAGCTGGACTGCGTCGTCAATAACGCCGGCATCCAAAATCCTCTCGAGGTTGACAAGCTCGGGCCAGACGACTTCCTTCGCAAGGCTGACCAGGAAATCGACGTCAACATTCGCGGCCCGATGCACCTGACGCTCCAGCTGATACCGCACTTCTTGTCTAAGCCGAGTGCTGCGATTGTCAACGTATCAAGCGTCCTGGGCTTCGTACCGCTCTCTATTATAAACCCCGTGTACAACGGAACAAAGGCCTGGCTGCACTCGTGGAGCATGAACCTTCGTACGCAGCTGAAGCACAGCGCTATCCGCGTCGTGGAGATTGCGCCGCCCATGGTGGCCACGGATCTTCATCGCGAGAGGGAGGACCCGGATGACAACAAGAAGGAAAAAGACTCTTCTACGATGACTATTGGCGAGTTCATGGATGAGGTTACCAAGAAGTGGGAGCAGGGGCAGGACATGATTACCGCCGGGCCGGGCAATAGAATCGTGGATAAGTGGCATGAGTCGTTTTCCAACGTGTATCCTGGTTGAACATCTGCGCGCTTATAACGGTTTCCCATATGGACAATGTAATTAATAAACTAGTCAATTTTCATCGATACGGAATGTCCAACCTCAAGTAAAAACCCTTATGATGCGTTAATACAATAGATACATCTCCCTATGATCTAGTTCGTCTTATTAGTGCTCTATTACTCTGCCTTTCCCCGGAGCTTGAAGCATTTTATCTTGATAGTGAAATTTCTTAGTCTTTCCCTCTCTTGGGGTATCGTTTGTGTGTCTTGGAGTACACCTTATCGATCTTCGCATTGTACGAGGCGGCGAAACATACTTACTGTAGCATGTGGTGGTTTCAACCGATTTGTAGTTGGTGATGCATCTCATCACAACTGCAGAACGCGCCTACTGATGAGGATAGCCGGTTGATTACTGAACTACTCCATACTTTTCTCCCGTTGCAGGCGTGGAATATTTCGAAGTTTTTGTGTAATATAATTGAACGTTTCCAGTTCACTACTGAATTGCGGACAGGATCATTGTAGGAAATCGGCTGGTTGGCGGACAATTGTTCTTATACGGAAGCTTGAACTCAAGTTCTTTTTGTCATGCTTTATTTTTCTTAAGTTTACGAAGTTGAACATTATGGCTGCTATGGAATATCTCGAATCAAGGGAATAGTAGTAC